GATTCACCAGCAGACATGGCACGGACAGTTCTACGGGCCTTTGCAGTGGCCAAACTGCTGGTCAGATTTCAGAGCCCCGACTCTTTGGCATTAAATACAAAGAGGATTAGGAAACCAGAAAGAGCAGGAAACTAGGAACACAGATGACCGATGGCTCTAGATACACAGAGCTGGGCTTGCTCTGCAGATCCCCAGCCAACTTAGGAGGAGAGGGTTTGCTGAAAGTCCAATGAAGAGGGGAGGGTGGATGGGTCACTCCAACACGTGTAACCTGGGTCAAATGGGAGGACTTATTCAGTAGCTTTGGCATCACCAGCATCTGCCTTGCCGTCCACTTCCTCATCAGAGCACTCTCCTGCACCCTTCCTGACAACTCGACGTGTCACGACAAAAGGCAGGTCCCCGCGCCTAGAGAAGGACAGACAGTACGTCAGTAACACCAGGTTTCCACCGAACTCACCAGACAGGACAGGCTTTAGAAAGAGGTAAGGAAGTACCTGGCCATGCTGTTTGCCGGGGTCTGGCTGCCAAGGTACCACACCAAACACTCCACCTTACCTGAGTTTGCTCTTCAGGGAGCTGACTTCTCTATTCATTGCATCAGCTGTTTCAGTGGCATCCTCCCGCTCACGCTGGAGCTTCCTGCGGGATGCATTGGCTCGCTGGGCCTCCTCTTCTGCTTCCTCAAGCTGGCGTTTGAGCTGCTTCAAGCGGATATTTGCCTTGTCCGCCTGAGCGTGTATGGGAAAAGAAAAAAGAGAAATCAGCGCTTCCCCAGAGTTAAGGCATAGCAGTAAGAACAGCAAAAAGCAGTTTCCAAAGCCCCTCTTCTCTTTCTGACGGGAGCTGCGTAGGACTTGACAGCTCCAAGCTTTTCCTTAAAAGCATTATGTTTTCACTTGTATCATCTAGTAATTATCACAGTGAGGGAAAAGAGAAATCCATAGCAAGGTTAATGCTAGAGCCCTCTGACATGCAGATGATGCCTTGGTCATGGACAGGAAACCCTCCCACCAGGAGACTCACCAATGCTGCAGGTAACTATACACACCTGATCTTTGAATTGCTCAGCATTGCGCCTCTCATCATCCACCTGTAGCAAGACATCTTTCAGCTTCTTCTCGGCACGGCGCACCTGCTTGCTGGCAGCCTGGCGCTCCCTACACAGAAATACAGTGGCACTCAGACAAGAACTTATCTCCCATTGTCCCCAACAAGATGACCTGACTTGGGCAAGCTAGAAACAAAAAAAAAAAAAGATAGCAGAAGTCCTCCTAACTCAGAAAAAAGGAGATGGGAGGCAACGTTTCCCAGAAATTACTAGAAAGCACTGATGTCACACAGATATGACCCTTCCTGAAGCTACAGAAGGACAGCAAGTGTATCACAGCTGCAGTTTTAGGCATGGTTAAGTCTGGAAAAAGCTAGAAGTCTCTACAGTGAAAAACAAGGAAGGTTTGCCAAGATCTTACTCCTGTACTACCCCAGTATACCTAGGATGAAGCCCTCACTCCAACAAATCAGAATTTGTTCAGAAGAGCTTAAAATCCCAGAGTGGGTGGAGGCTCGTAAAACAGATGGAGTTTCTACTAAGACATACTTTGTTTCCATGTCCAACTGCTCCTCCAGCTGCGCTATCTTCGCTTCCAAGGCCGTGATAGTAGCCTTGTACTTGGACTTTACTGCACTCTCCATCTCCTGCAGTTTGAGCTTAAGCTCCTTGTTCTGGCGCTCCATCTGCTGGCGAGCATTCTCATTCTTCTGCGCATTGCTACGCTCAGCATTCAGGTCGGCGTTCATCTGATCGATCTGCCGAGAGAAGACACACTCAGCATGTAGAGTGCTTCAGCTTGAAAGGCTGATTTGTTTCTCAAGACACACACTGACATGCAAAGAAAAAGGACCCTCAGGGTGAGCTGAATACCTGGAATAACTCTGATGCAGAGGGAGCTGTCTGAAGGCAGAGCAGTTCTCAAAATATCTTAGTTTACCCAGATTTTTAAAGTAATTCCTTGAATAACAGGTTTATCAACCTCCTCTTAGGGCTAAATTTGCCAGTCACGTACAATGCTCTCTGGGGCGAAGGCCATGGTTTGGCACTTAACACAGTAATTATCAGTCTTAGTGAATTATAAAAATCCTGAGGCAAGTGGACCCAATCCATGTGCTTTACCAATTTATCATTTATTTGCTGTCTGCCTACTTACACTACAAAGAAGCAGCTTAAAAATACTGACTTTCAAAGGTGAAAGGGCAAGAACTCTTCCAAGCCAGGGCTCTGGCTGACAGTCAACCAAGTAGAGAACTATGCGCTCATCCACAGTGAACAAGACGTTTGGAAAACCATCAGCCCAGCTCCTTGGCTTTGGAGTGCTAAGAAAAACAACATGCTTGACTCTCAAAGTCAGGCAGATAAAATATGGCAGAGAAGAGACAGATTAAGATCATAGTTTCTATAGCAGCCTAACAAATTCCATATGGTTAGTCTATTTGAAGAAACATAGACCTGGCAGAAAAGCCATTTTCCAAACACACTGTGGCACCATTCAGCATGCCAAGTTGGAGCAGCATGCTACAGATCATCTTTCTCATAATCCCTTAATACAGGAAAAAAGGACTAGAAGTTTGTTTGTTTGGTGGGGTTTTTTTTAGTAAACTTGGGAGATTGATCATTTGAATCATTGGGTAGCTGGAACAAAACAAGTGAGTTAACATCAGCTCTGACTGCCCATCCTATTTTCTGTATTGTGGTATTCAGGTGTCTGACCTTGCTCGCACCTATGGATTTTTGAGGGCCCAGAAGGTACACAAAGCAGCAGCTGGCACTACGCAGAGTGCAGTCTGATAGTTTACCGCAGAACCCCTACTGGCACACACAGCCTGAACAGGTACCTGAAGATTTGCCTTCTTGAGCCGGTCATTGATTATCTCTGTGTTGCCCTGTTCTTCTTCTAACTCCTCCTCCAGCTGAGCTATCCGGGCCTCCAGACGTCTCTTTTCCTCCATGGCCAGTGCTCTACAGGACATAGAATCGTTAAAACAGTGTTGGTGGCATTAATGCCTTGGGGAAAATTCACTACTTCTAATTTTACAAAATAAGCTCAGTCTTTCAAGAGCAGAGGAGATACAGTGTGCGCTGCAGTCCGCATAAAAACAACAACCTGCGAAGTATTTTCTCAAAGCAGTTCCTCCTCTCTTGAACAGGGAACATTACTCACCCTTTACCACTGTTGTTGGCAATCTCATCAGCCAACTCATCCCTTTCTTGCTGGGCCTGGCGCTTGGCACGCTCAGCAGCTGCAAGTTCCTGGAATGAAAACGAGACGGTCAGTGATCCAATGGGAAGCTACAAATTAATGCAGCATAGGAAAAAGTAGTTACTGGTAATGGGTGGTATGGTCTCTAGCTAGACTCAGACTTAATTACAAGACATGGTCTGTTCTCCACCCACCTCACAGCTTCCTTTGTTTTGCACACTCCTATCACAGCTGTCAAGAAAGGGCCAAATTCTGCACTTTGAAGTGGACCTCATATTTGAGCAGAGCAAAAAGTACAAAAGAAAGGAAATAACCACTCAAGTTTAGACTGCTACATTTAGTTCTTGGCCAAAGAAAACGAACAAACCCTTGACTTGCATGTGTATTCCGTTACCTCCTGCAATTGGATCATCTCTGCCTCCATGCTCTTCAACTTCTTCTCATTTTCTTTGGCCTGTGCCCAGATCTCGTCTCTAGAAGTACGTGTGTCCTCCAGTTCTCGCATGTAATCCTTCATTTGTGCCTGAAACGGGAGAACAAAAAAGGATGAATTTTAGAGCAATCACATTAACAAAGTGGGTTTGTTTGTCTTATAGGAAACATGGAGGGGAAAATAGAAACAGGCATTCATTAATCTTCAGTTACCAAAAAGGCTGCTGTAAAAACAAAAGGAATCACCCTTTTCCTATTTCATAAATAACAAGGAGAAGCAGTAATGGAAGCAAACAGGACTGCTTAAATCGCAGGAAAAAAATAAAATCTTGTCAGATATAGGGAACGGGGAATACAATTCTAGTGAAGCAATGGAATGGACAGCCTAGGGAGGATTTGGAGTTTTTCCTAAGAACAGATCAGACAAATGCCTGTAGGAATTACAAAAGCATAACAGAACTATCTTGGGGCAAGAAAAGGCCTAAATAATATTTAAGTCCCTCTAGCTTTGCAGCTCAATAATCCTCTCCAAAAACTCTTGACATGAGGCAAGCACTAGACTGGACTTT